CTGTTATCGAACTTGGCAGAGATGCACTTGAGTTTAAATGTCTTCACTAAATAACATTGTTACTGTGGTGTTATGATGTATCTGATAAGTCTGATCGGATGCAGCATCCAGTCAGTAACTCTTATCCTACAAGGATATCATTTAAAATATTTTTTATGTGGTTTTACTACTGTACTTTATAAACCTATACTACATGTCATTCAGCTGTGAGGATGGAGAGAAAGAAGAGAAGAAGACAGAGGAAGAATCAGGACAGACAGGGGAAGGCAACAGGTTGGTCTAATATTAGGTGGAGTGTGGGAGCAGCTACTTACTCACAAGTAATTAATTTTTAAACATTATTTTTAAAAACTGTGTTAAGATCTGTAATTTTCCTTTATAACAAATTCATAATGCTTTTTTGACCATATGACTTAGTGGAGAACACAATGAACAAGGGGTGAAGGAGACAGACATGAGGTTGATGGTGGCATCTGCTATAGAGGAAACAAGTGATGACATCAGGTAGGAATAATTAATTAGGGAAGCAAACATAACGTGATGATGGTTTTAATTTCTGATGCACACTTTTTACTGTGTCCTTTTTTGGGAAAATTAGTGCAGGCAGGCATGGCAAGTCAATCACCACAGAGGAGAATGTGGAACAGAGAGGTCCAGATGAAGATGAAGAGGGAGAGGAGCAGAGAGCTGCAGAGGAGAAAGATGAGGCAAAACCTTACTCAGAAGATCCATCTGAATGGCCTTTACCACACAAAATAGAGGACTCATTTAGGCAGTACATGGTTGAAAATGGCCCACAGAAATGTTCTGATGGGCCATATCCAAGATCAGATAAGAGTAAAAGGTGTTTTTCCAAAGCATACTGTTTTCGATTACTGTCTAATGGAGAGAAAGTTGAACGAGACTGGTTACTGTATTCCAAAAATACTAACAGAGTCTATTGTTTTGCATGTAAGCTTTTTGGTGAAGCTAAAGTTGCTGACACACGCTTTGTGGTGGGTTATAATAACTGGCAGTGTCTTTCAAAAACACTGAAGCCCCATGAAACCAGTGGTTCTCACATAAATGCTTATCTGATGTGGAAAGAACTGGCATCTCGCTTATGCCTAGGTAAAACTATTGATAGCGAACTGCAGAGAATCATGGCTGCTGAAAAGGCACAYTGGAGAAGTGTGTTGACTCGTATCATTGACTGCATACTCTTCCTTGCAGAGAGAAACTTGCCACTGAGGGGGAAAAATGCACAATATGCACTGTATGATGTACTGTATGATGCACTGTATTTCACAAGGTTTTTTTTTCAAACTCCTTATATATTTATCCCTATATACTCTCAGTGACTTCATGTGTCTGATTTACACCTGAGCAGCTGGCCTTATGTTCATCATTTATTCTACTGACAACTTACACACTTATCAATATTTAATTTAATATAGATTAGATTTGCTAATGGTTTTTAAAATAATGATTCAAGAAATTTATTTTTATTATTCTCACCCATAAACCTCCAGTTTCAGATCAGGAACGCAGACGTTGTCCTCTCCACAGTCCAGCTGAATCTGGGCCTGACAGAAGACAGCAGAGGTCAGAATAGGAGGAGGAGGAGGAGGAGGAGGAGGAGGAAGGGAGGGACCGATGGAATCAGTGGGTCAGAACTGTTCTTTTTTATGTACAGTGCCCTGAGACAACGTATGTTGTGACTTGGTGCTATATAGAAAAATGAAWTGAATTGAATTGAAACTGAATTGAACATTTCATTTGTGATTTAATGAAAAAACAGTGTTATGCACAAAAATGTTAATAAGCTGTGTTTTTATTCTTGAGGACTTGAATTAGATGCAGTAGCGGCTCGTGAGCACACAGCCAGCACAGATTAGGTTAAAACTATCCTACCTTCTTGGCAAAAGAAAGTCCCATTCCCTTTTATGTCCTTCTAAAATCTATAAACATAATTGTTGGTAAAATGAATCCACGGTGTGTTCGTTATTTAACTTCAACTGTTTTATAAATCAGGTAAAGCCAAAAAATAATACAACAGCCTCGTAAAGCTTGCTAAGATAATTTAGATATCTTAAACTTTGTGTTTTATTAATACAAACTCAGATTTTGAGATGTGGAAATGTATTTCACTAGTATGGCTGTTATTATGGCTATTGCAGGTTTTTGTTCAGATTTATTTATTCTATTTTATTTACCTTTATTTAACCAGGCGAGTCTTGTTGAGATCTCAGATCTCTTTTTCAAGGGAGGCCTGGTCCTGAGGGCATGTTTTCTTAAAAAATGTTCAGTTATTACCTAAAATATCAGGTAAAAATTGATTGAATTTGATGCTATAACAACCTTTCATAAGCAAAAACAAAACTCCAGTGACACAGTTTATAAGTTAATTAACACATTAAGTGTTTAGATTTTTATATTGTCTTAAATCCACAGTATTCTGTATCCTGATGAATGAAGCTGAAGTTGTTAAAATTCAGCAGAGTAAATTTATTCTGACTTGTTAAACTAGTTTTATTGCGTGAGCTGCTTCCAGTGAGGGGAGACAGTTCACACTCAATACAGACCACATTTATTCTCACGCCCACAAATCTAACACCAGCTATCAGACGCCAGCATGTTGGGAGAAAATAAGAGTTTTCATGTTTGCCGATAGAAGTTATGTGAGGAACAAAAGCAACATGATGGAGGAGTCGGAGAAATGATTTGTCTGTTCTCCCATGCTGCTTTGTAACATGGCTCTCCAACACATGGGAAGCATTAGAACCTAAAACCAGAGCTACAGACAGCAGAATGAGTCTGGCAATTGTTAGCAGAGGACAGATTCTTCCTTCCAGTCACTGTCATCATTTGAATGGAGACACTAAACTTCAAATAAAAAGGCTTTCGTAACATTTTTACTGAGATGAAGCTTTTCTTATCGCTTTCATCTGCCTCCATATTTTAGATGCATGTGACCTTTAAGCTTTGAAAGAAACAAAGCAGTCTGTTGTTCACCACAATCATTATCAGAATGTAAAAAAGATGTGTAATTTCCTGTGTACGTCAAAAAGCAAGGATTTTAGAAGCTCTGACATTTCCCAGTTTAATTATATAAGGCAGTATAAATACATGTCAGTTTTGGTCTGGCCAACTTTTTGATAAGTTGATGACATCAGAGCTTTTATTTCAGACCTTCAACACATTAACCCAAAAACCGGGGAGGATAAACCACATGGTCTAGGTCCATTTTGTTCTGACGACACTTCAGACATTTAAACTCTGAGAAAACCAAATCAAATCTATTATTTCATCAACTGAGATTATTAAAATTTTATGAGATGGTTGACTACAATATTCTGCAGGTTATGTATAAGACTCATAAAAATGTATTACCTTCGAACATGCAATTACATTTTGTTAAGAGGGAAAGTTATTACAATCTTAAGGGACTTGAGATGTTTGTAAAATCTAAAATCCAAACAATTGGAAGGACAGATTTACCTCAATCCAAGCAATAAGATTATAGAATAATCTGGAGAGTTATTAAAAAAAGGCTTGTTCACTTAAGGGTTGGTTTGTTGGAGAGATATAAAGTTGTATAATGTGCACATTAAATGTGTTTAATGTGGTGTTTATATGAATTACTGTTTGAGGAATTGACGTTTTTAGTTTTGTTCTATTATTGAAATTTTATGGTTTGAAATTAATATCATTGTTTTTGAAAAATAGGGGCAGATATACGATATTTTTTCTTCTTCTGCTGCCTTTCATTTTATTTAATTTGTATTTTTTTGTTTTATGTGAATTTGTTTTGTTTTTTAAATGAAATTAATAAATCTCACTAAAAAACAACCAAAAAAATAATCTCATTCTACTTGCAAAAACTTAAGTGAAGTGTTATAATTTATTTAAAGTGTTTAAATTTCCTTACATTAATAACAAGGTTTCATTCATTATAAATAAATTAATAAAAGGTCATTTTTATTGGTACAAAATGATGGACATGAATGTCCTGCTGAGACATTCATGTCCATCTCTGAATGTCTTTAAACACATGATGCTTCAGAAACCAGAGTCACTGAGAACKTCACAAGATCTGTTTTGGGGGTTTCCCTCTCTGCTTTACAAGGTAAGTGTAAACACAAAGGGCCTCATGCAAGAATCGTTCGAATGAGCAGATTAGTTCTTAAGTTGTGAGTACGAGTGATTTAGGAGAACTTCTCATTCCTCAGTTCTCTCTTATTGTTAGATTTTTTTCAGATATGGTCCAGACCTGTGGTATATTTTACCAGCAGTCACTCTGCTGTTATCCAGACTGATTTTCTTCACTAATAACTTTATATTTCATTAGTTTGAAGATATTTTGAGATGAAAATAATTCACACTCCATAAATATGTTGACAATAGACTATTCTGTTTGAACTGGAATTATAATTTTAAATGTAACTAGACACCGCATGGYGGTAACATAATGACCCCCGCACGCACAAATGCACCAGAACTCAGAAGTCTTTATTCCTAATGTCATGCTACTAGGTGCATCCCAAAATCGTAGTGGCTTGGGAGGGGGTCTTTTTTTGGGGGGGCGGGGCGGGGCATTTGTTGGCCTGATGGATAGAGCTTCATCAGAGCTAAACAACAAAAGAAATCTGAAGCTTCTATGTTGAACAGTTTCTGAATTATAAGCAATTTTGCACGTCCTGAGACCCCTTCTTTGAAAGGAGCCCCCTCCTCAAATATGGGGTCTATCGTAAAACCGTTGGCTGGTGCAGTGTAGGTCAGACTCAACTACAGTCCTGACAAATTTCATGTTGATAGGTGCAGCCGTTTTTTGTGGTACGGTTGACCAAAAATCACTGGAAAAAAAATAATAAACAGTACGAAAACAATATGACTCCCGCTTACGTTTAGCGTGCGGGGTCATAATAATGTACAATAATGATATAAATTGTCTTTTTAAAGATTTAGATTTCAAAAGAATCTGACTCTGCATGGTTGTATTTGTGCTGCTGCGTAATTTTATGGTAAATGGACTGTACTTATAAAGAAATTTAAATTTATTAGAGGTTTGTACTGATGTTAAAAGCACAACACTATATCTTAGGTTTTCCTTTTTGTAATGTTGACAGTGTTTAATTTATTATGTTTTGATTGATATAGATTAGTTACATGTCCGAAATATCTGTGACAACACATAATTAAACGTTGGGATGACATTAGCTGAGGATTTTGTCTGAATGCCTGTGATTCAGCCGTACGTCAGTAGGGGGCGAACACAGGCATTGAAGAAGGTGTATAAATACATGAACTTCCTGGTTTCCTGTAGTGTTGGTTTCCTGTCAGCTTGAGTGACCATAAACTTCACTCAGATCCAGAATTCTGGTGTTGTATGGTTTGATACCTTCTACAAATCATTTTATTTAACAATTGTGTTTTTAATATCGACTTCAGTTTATTGAAAACTAATTTTCTTACACTTATATAGCACCTTTCTATCCATCCAGGACACTCAAAGCACTTCACACTACAGACACTCACCTATGCACACACACATTCACACACTGATGATGGCAAACTACATTGTAGTTTCAGTGTCTACAGGTGAATTCACCTGAACACATCTGAACACTTCAGAACATTATGACAGATCTGACTCCACACACACACACACACACACACACACACACACACAC